GCCCTCAGTGGATTTTTCATCTTTGAATTTTACCGCGCTTAGCATGTAGTGTATTTGCATAACAAAACAACATTTCGAAACACCAAATAGTCTTTTATTCCACAAAGCATTTTTTTACTCATACTTCGCGTTTCATTTCACTTGTTAGTGTAGTGTATATCTAAGAATAGTGAAGTCTAGATTGAGATTTGAATATTCCATGCTTATTCATATCAGTTCACTTAAGTGTTAATGTGATTCACTGGGCTGATTCTAAGTTAAATACTTTTCAGTTTTCGTGAGACAGTATTTTATGATTTTTCTTCTCTTTTTGAATTCAGAATCATCGTGGTACAATGGAAAGTGGTCACTGTAAGTTGATTAGAAAATATTGTTCTTCTTAAATTGATGACGTTATCTTATTTGATTCAAATCACCTGTCTATTTAGCTTCCTATGTCAAAAAATTATACCATGTTACATAATTTTGTCTAGACTTTCTTCCTTCAGCTCTATGCAGTAGGCATCTATGAAGTTTCAAGGTTTTGATTGGTTGGAGGGTTTCATCATTAGCTGAGATTAGTTAGACAACCATTGGAAAACCTGCATGGAGTACTGGACAGCTGTTTCGTCATGGCTCTTTAGGACTCCTCATCAGTACGCACCCACCGGAGTCCGAGCCCCAGGACTTTCTGGTTACAAGGCTAGCGAGCTCGTAGACCATTAAACCACCTGGACCCGATCCAATGGCCAGCCCATGAATCCTAACTTCTGCCAATTCATGACATTTATTCAAGAGTTTCTTCTGTGAATAGCCTTTTCCAAAAATTATGACAAATACTAAAAATACAACTAGTTAGTTATTTGCAAAGCACGCAAGCCAAGGCGAAATTTTATTACGGTGTCCTCTGAAAAAGCCAAAACTTCAGATCACAGTATATGCAGACTATGCTTGCACTACCCAATCCCTAGTACTATAGGTTGGCATGACTGGTTCTCAACCGTGTGCACGAATTGCCACACCTTCAACTTCGTTAATTTATTTCATTCTTAAGTGATATTTGAGTAGATGGGATTTACGGGAGGTCAATTCACTGTATACAACAACTTTTAAAAGTGGATAATCGTCCTTGGGTTCGCGTGAATTAGTTTACTACTTCACTCAACATTTTTGTCTACAGCTTAACGATGACCTATGTGAACAACCCGACTGTCGTTAGACTATGTAGATGAAATACTCTAGCTAAATAAATATGTTGACTAAATCCCCAGAAACCTTTGCGAACACTGAAGGGCATCGTGAGAGAGAGGGCAGTCTTTTTTATTCACCCCATATGGCAAATGATGCTTCAAGACTGAAATACCCTTTTGATCAAATTACGTTAAGTGCGGAATTATGAAACTTCTAGGACTACGCATAAAATTGTCTCAGTGCGAACAAAAGATAGTTTTTACTTTCTGTAAATTTCAAGTAATTGTCTTATAACTTTTACGGTGACAACTAGTTTTTATCAGCAAGTGTTTGCAGATCATATGAAAAATGTTTGTATTTCCTTCCGCCTTGATCGTGCTTCCCTTCTTATTTTATTATTTCTTCAGAGGCTAATTTCATTTGATGTGAAGTTTTTTCTTTAGATTAGTGTTTGGAGCATTAAACACACTCCTGAGTAAGTCTCGTGGTGATTGGTTACACTTGTATCGACAAAAAATAAAAACTAGAGTTCACCTTATTTTATGACAACCTTTCAATGACAGGATGACATTTAAAATGTCACTTATAGAGTTATACTAATACACGAAATGATATTAAACGAATCTGACCCACTTAAATCCATGGAACGGTGTCATACTTACTTAATAAGCAGTGCAATCCTACACATTTTCCCTTTCGGATTTCACCTTTGTGTCGACGTGAATGAGTGACTCATGTGTGCGGTTCCAATCACTCTAAAATTACCGCATACCTTTTGGTTTTAACTATGATATTTGCATAAGCTTTGTGATATTTCCATTATTTATCATAGCATTATGTATTTTACAAGACCGTTTTTTTATTATTTCAAATAGATACAACATATTGTCGCAATATCCGTGATGGTCGATGGTATGAATATGATGATGAAAATGTGTCCTTACTTAGCAGAAATGAGATACAAGTAAGTTAGAATGTAATTGCTTTGTACAGTGATTTTCTTCATTCAATAATTTAACTTGTTTAGTTATCATTCTATGATACACCTAAAGCAGCGACTTTATCGATTACGTATGTATTTCTATGCGCTCCGAATGGAACATAGGACTTCAAGCTTGAGCTTTGAAGTTCCAGTAGCAGCGCTGTTTGTTTTTTTACGGGGTGGGGTTTCTAACCTCACGTCCAACTTCCCCTCTTTACCGGGCTTGTTGCCGGCTAAAAGAGGTTTTAGTCTGGCATCGACTGGGGGTCGAACCCCAGACCACATGGGGGTGGGTTAGTAAGTATTCTACCGGCGAGTCACCGACGCACATCAATCGCTGAAGTTGAACATTTTTATGAACTATATGGATAAGCTTCCGTACACGAAGCCTAAACGAAACACTTATTCCTGTTGGGTGGTAACTTACACCACCACATAACCACCTGACCTACAAATCTTCTGCGTTATTTACATAACTTGTGAAAAACATTTAAAAGGATGCATATGCAATGCAGTGTTGCGTTGTACTTCAAATTTCAAGTGTGATCACGAACTGACTTCAGTTAGGGAACCATTGAAAACTAGGGAGTACTGGACAGCTATTTCGATCACGGGGATAGAATCGAAATAAATGCCTATCAATTCTTACTTTTGCCAATTTGGATGTGTTTAAAATATGAATTAACTGCGAGTGCTATAGAAAATTTGGGAACTGCAGAAATCTTTTCGTTTGCCTTCTTATTTACTTCAAACTGCACTCCTCATTTATCACCACCTAATGATTTTTGTTTCCTATCACTTAACATTAAGAGCATAGTAACCATATGTTTTGAATTTGTATTGCTCACGTGCATCATTCTATATAACTTTAATTTCTCTGCGCATCTTACACTGCACAAGTATTTGACATGTAACTCACAGGGAAAGTAATAAAATACGGGCTGTGATTGCTTTAATCTCTGGGGAACAGTAGTGGTAGTGATGGTAATGATATTATGCTAGATTTCAAAATGTAAATATGCTTCTCGCATCAGTACACTGAAGCAGTACATTAGTTAGGACAAATATAGAGATGTTTCAGTGAGTACTTCATCAAAACAAACAACTGAATACTAATATGTATTCTTGTTTCAAAGTGTAACTAACACCTCAAGATATGCTTCAAAAATGCAGAGGATTTCAGAAGCTAATTCCTCATAGATTCAGGTGGAAAATAGGTCGGCTAATTTTCAAAAGCATAAAAATGTAGATAGGTAACTCAAATACCTAAGTGGTAACGTCTCTAACTGCAGTAATAGGTGACGCGGGTTAGAATTCCAAAAGGGGACATAATCCCTTTAATAGTGAAGGCACGCCATGCCGACGAGTGCCAACAAGCACGAAACCGAGGTCCAGGGCTTCCTGTTGATTGCCTCGAACCATCTAACATAAGCATACCTCATTAATGTTAAGAACGTGAGAAAACGTCAGCTTTTGACGAATGAATTAACATGCATTGGACAAGCGAGTCCATTGAATTGGTACCTGGACAGTTTGCTTCCCTCGCAACAGAGCCACAAGAAATATAAGGCTATGAAGTTTTAAAGCTACTCTCTCGACTAATTTATGTTGTCCTGACTGGAAACAGTAAGTGAAACAAGTAAATGTGCGTCAGTATTTTCGAGAAGTGCAGCATTAAAATATGTGAGTGCACTACCTACCAAGTGAATCTTTAGACAACACGTCAGCCATAATACAACTCCTGGGAATCAATCAGCCTCAATTAAGACGGCGATTTACTATTCGCCATTTTAAAAGTTAGTAATCCCTCTCATAGCATAGCATTGGAAGTATATTTTAGTTGACACTGTAACCTGCTTTTACATGAATTCTACTGATTATTTTCGCCTTTGAAGCCATATTCTATCACTCACGACCGCTTTTCTTTTTAATTCCAGAATGATAACGCTTATATATTGTTCTATGAATTACTACCTCGTGTAGGCGTGTTTTTTGAAAACCCTCCTGATGTGGTTCGATGAATCGCTTAACCTATTGTGATTTATATATATATATATATATATATATATATGATGAGATAAATTATCATGCTAACTTGCTTCAACCCCCTGATGTATATTTTCATATTTTTTACCAATAATACTCTAAAAGATCAGTTTCTATCTCTTTCTTTTTTGAAAATAAATGTTACGTTTATTTTTCTATGCTTATAATGTTTACTTTAACCTGTTAGCAAAATATTAGTTTCAGTTTATCAAACGACAGATGGAGTTAAGCATCAACTAACCTTTTGATCTCACGAAATTTACAGATACTATTCAGAGCAAGTACGTTCACGATAGACCACAGTGTAGCAATGTAGTTTTGATCGACATGTTCTGCACTCCATTAAACAATCGATAGGTTATGGACAACAGCAGTAGGATAATATCGGAAATACTTCTATTTATGCAACCGAACTATAAGGCGATTATTTCGTGTATTCGCCTAAATGTTTTCACGGTGACTTCTATTTGTGTTCGTGAAACTATAAGGTTCCTCCAAAAGCTTAAGACCAACCATATAAAAATGCGAACCAATCTATACACCTTAATTTGCGTCTCAACACTTGCTGTTACTTTCGCACATATTTTAATTTGATTAAGGTCGATAATTACATCGAAAGTCAACTGTGAGTGTTCCCATCATGCGCTGTCCTTTTAGATTGAAGAGGTCGCGATTGAACGTCTCTACTATATTGACTACGAAGTTTGCACGTTAGCAATCACTGTACAACTTTACAAAAGATGAGGAATTTCACTGTTTGATTAAAAAGTTATTTTAATTCAAGAAACATCAATATATGAGACAAGAACGAACGAAGAAATGCTGATATGTCCGGAGGCACATGAATTTTTCGAGAAACAAGCACTAAATACATGTTTATACAACTGGTAAAAATTTGTATATCAACATTATAGAATCCCTTCGAGGGCGATTCACAAAAATGTACAACTTTTTAAAATGTAAGTGCCTAAAATTAACAAACCTGAGATATAGAATTACAGATATTCTACTCAAGCGGTTTTAATCAGTACCTTTAACTTGAGTAATCATTATATAATTAGCGGAAACAGCGTGTGCCAACAAGGGAATGCAATTAGGAAAAACTAAATCCCGACATATATATATATCGGGATCTCCTAGGAACTATAAAAAGTATGCATGATTCCGCTTTACAAAAGGATTTCAAAACAGTTAGTGGATTAAATTAAAACAAGAAACCATGAAGAAACGAAAGAACCAGGTAAGTGAACAAGGTTGAAAAAAAAAATCAAGCAGGAGTGAATGAATGAACAACAGATGATTCTGTTGAAGGTACAGGAGTTTCATCATCAAGAACTTCATCCACACTTTCTCCACCATCACTTCTAGCTCCAACGCTTGTACAGGCACTTGTGCTACTACTTTCTGTACACGGTACTTCGGTCAGAATATCATCTTTGTTTGATGTACAACCTGAATGTTCGGAATCTGACGACCTTGGAACTGGTAACAGTATGGCCTGTGTATCTCGTCTATTTGACTCGGAATCGGCATTTATCCCCTGCGTATGTCCAGTAGAGGGATATGTGGCAGAATTCGCGTATTTCTGTGTCCATAATCGTGCAATACGATCATGTTCTGATCTGTTATGCATATATTGACTAGCAATAGACCCAACTAAGGGGTCAGCAGGATTGCAATCAGTAAGCAACGAACAAATGGATAGTAAAACCTTGCTGATAGTAAGTGCTGGAGACCAGTTATCCTATAAAATTGAGGAAATCAATTTTGAAGTCACAAATAATTCTAGTAAGATTAAAAATAAAAATAACCACTAATGGAAATCTTAGATACTTCTGGTGCATAGAGTGAGAGCAAGTTTTATTCTACAGTCATTTAATATCTTATCGCAGTTTGAATGAAACATCGACATAGTTCCTCCAACACTTAGAAAGACTAACAGTACTGTAAGTAACCCTAAAAAGCGTAAGACATATGACTAAATTAAAGGTTGACTCTTGTTTCAAAGATTGTGTGTGGAACAGCTGGACGATTCAATAATCCTAATGGGCTGGTGGCTTTCAGAATTCCTACATGAATAAAAGATTTATATGGCATTCCCCAACTTGAAGTGTATTTGGGGTTAAAAGAATGCTAGGCTACTTTTCAATGAGCGTATGCATTATACACTTTTTCAATTAGTCCTTCTTCTAAAGCCGTTTCATACTGCCATTGAATGGAAAGACTAGAGGATTTTGATCAAGCTTATTTTCATTCGACTACTAACGACAAGTGGAGAAGCATGCTACGCAATATTTAACCAAATCACAATCGATATAGGTGATACGTTTGCCTTTGATACTAAATGAAATGGCGTTAGGCTGTTAAGAAATCTGAGGTAATCGAAGAGAAGCATTACACCAAACTATGAGACAATTGTCGAAAAACGTCAACTACGTATGGAGGTGTAAGTTGCTTAGCTCGGGACATAAGGATCAATGGATGAAGTCTCACAGTGACATGACTCAAAACCGTTCACAGTTGAGCAGTTTATTTTATTATCTAAAAATCTGCACTAATTGTGGAGTCATCCTCTTACACTCTGAGTCTGACAAGTGTCGTATCCCTACATTTCAGTCACCTTTTTTCTGTGGTAATTCGAAGCGACTCAGCCTGAACTAATTCATGTCTATGCAAAGTTTTAAGCTGATTCTTCAATCAATACCGTTTGCATACTGATCTCGCTTCTATTACAAGTTAATGCACTAAGTTACAGTGTAACTTCACTATCTGATCTAAAATTATGCTGCAGCACTTCGCTGTAAATACGGCACTGGTATCAAAGAACTTTAAGTAAAAAGCCTGATAAAAATGTCTAACCGCCGTGACAGACTAGTTTGAAGTATTATTGGACAGCTTTCTATCCTAGGGATCATGTTGCAGCAAAAGATGCTAACCCATTACTTCACTTCATCCAACCCTATCGTGCATTCGCCCACTTTTCCGAGCAACTCCGAGGCTAGATAACTGTTAGTGTTATCAAAGACACCGGGGATGGCATTCGTAGCATACATAAATGGCACGGAAAGTGGTATTCCAGGACGACCTCGTCCATGTTCAGACATACGTCATAAAACATAAGAATTACTTACACTGTGACGTCATAGGATACACATAGTTCCACGGCAATAGTTAGGATAGAACACGCAGGGTCATCACAAGTCCAAGCGCTACAAAACCGATTTTTGGTGACCAGACTACTATCACAGCGCCAGAGGCGACTTAGGTAGACGCTTATTTTCTCCAGATGATTGGAAACAGCGCACTACTACCAACACTCACACAATTGCTTAGATGATCACGCTTTCTGCTGATCTTAATGACTCATTTGAGTGCAGGTGACGGGCTCTTGGATGACGCGAAGCAGATACCATACTTACAGACATTGACTTAACTGGTTAAGTGATTTGAGCTGCTTATATGTTACTGCATACTTTAGGTCGAATTCTGCCTCCAGTTGGTAGACCTACACCCCATACATACTATACAGCTGTCTTTAGAATGTCATCTATGACAAATATGGAGTAGCCCCATCTAACCAAAATGCCGTCTGAACAGAGTGGCGAGGACTACTTGTAAGAAATGACGCGCTCTAGTTGTGCGGTTTCAAGATGCTGATTAACCTCTCAGAGATACTATTCTCTAACAGAAACGGCGACAAACTGAAGATAACCTTAATATCAAAAGAAACGTCTTTTGGCCTGCAAAAAATTGTGACGATACCCTAACAAGTGACAGAGAGAAACACCTAGTCGATGCGATTACGAATGCTTTTTGCAAATTAATAATAACGACAACAGTTAGTAGTTTCGTTGTAAATGGTAACATTAGTAATATAATATAGTAAGCAAAACTATTTTAAGATGGAAACAATCACGGTCTCATTCTAATTCGCGCTGATGTGAGGACGCTGTAAGTGGAAACAAAACGATGGTTGTCATGTTACCCTAAATGTGATTAGCAATTCATAACGGCAGAGACAGATTACGGAGACAATTACGAGCATTTAATGAAAATACACGCAAAAGAAGTGCTAATATAATAAAAGTTGAGTAAAACAGTTTACTATAGAAGGCGAAACGATTGAGGGAAGAAATATTTACTTTTAAATTACATCACCTCTAGCTCTACTCTCATATGTAAAGCACTTTAATATAACAGGAAGAATTTTAGAAGTAAATATTTCTTCGCTGAATCATTTTGCCTTCAAAACATTTTACTCATCAGAGTAAGTAATATTAAAATCGGAATGACAATGAACTGAATGTTCGAATAAACGACCAATGAAGTGTAAAAAGCTGTAAAACCGCATAGCTGAATCTTTCTAAACCCCATGTGACGGCCAAGATGCTACCAACACGCCAGCATTCAGTGAACCGAAGTAATTACTAGACGCGTGACTCTATGTCAACATTTTGAGGCAAGACCGGAATCCACTCACTGTCGGCTACACTGGTCAATTTAAGAGAATGTGCATGGAGCAAACAGCACTAACTGTGGAGGACTAGGACGGGAGGAAAAACCTAAACACATTTGATTTGCGAACCACCCAGCACGCCTGTGGAAGTATCAAAACATGATTGCTGATTTGAAGACCATGGTTCGGAATCCAACATACTAATGCCCATGCACATATATCTTTGGATTGCTTACATTGAGACATGGCCTTTAACTGTTTATATTAATTCAAAAGCTGTTTGCAACTTTTCACATCAACTGGCCTTATCCTATTAATTGCCTCTCCAGTTGTGACCTCAGTTTCTGCTTGGTTGCATCAGCTTCCAAACCAATAATGCTTACTTCTGATCAAGAGTAAATTTCCCAACGACACTTTATACCAAAAAATCATCAAACAATAAAATCCAGTTATCCCTAGTTCTAAAACATGATGGAGTAAAACTATGAGGTAATACCTACTTCTTCTAGATACCAGTAATTTAGTACTAGGCAGGCAGAAAAACTCAAAAAAGTGACTTAACTGGCAGCAAACTGAAGCAAAAATGGCTCACCTTGAGTATATCCAGGCATATTATTCCGTGACTGTTTATATTGCAGTGATAGATGCGCGTCTTGAATATCACCTGAACAGTAAAAGTCAGCAAATTATAACAACTACTTTAGGAGGCTTGAATGGATATTCCGTAGAAAAGTGGATATCGAGAAAAAATATTCCACCTTCGTAGACTGACCCTTGGGGTCCCAGCAAAGTTGAAACCCATTCGTAAAGATTATCTCCTCGAGGAAATGCACTAACAGTAACCAACAAAATCGACAAACCTGCAGTTAGGTGGTGGATCTGACATAATATCTGTCAGTTCTTTTTGTATCCTTTAAGTAATGTGATTTTGTCAGTGTAATACAAACCTTTTCAAACTTGTAGACATAGATTTTGTCTTAAAATGAACACTTGATGGAGGTTTCTGACCATTGTTTGCTACAGGCGTTGAGTCCATAGATGCTGAATGGCCAGTAAAAGCTCTGTCATGTGTACGTTTACGCACTCCACGCCTAGACTGAGAGGAAGACATAAGACAAAAAATGTTGAAATGGCGGGTAAGTAGAACACCAACTATAACAATAAGCTTCGAAGCTCAATCGTGACTAAGTCACACAAAGTAAAATATCCTAAGTATTTCGACCTAATGTTTGAGTAGACACGAAAAATCTCTATCACTACTAGACTGCACCTGTATACCCACCATTCTAAGATCACTACGTGACATAATCCGTCTCATTAGCTCAGATTTTCAATGCCAGGTTACTAACCCAGATGTCTTCCAGCTAAACCTCCCTCTAACACTTTTTCAGAAATGTGGTACCACCTTAGAGATATATTTTAAAGGAAACTGTCTAGCTGAAAGATGTTTTCTCAAACGACCAGCTCCGATATAAATAAATGAGTTGGAAACTATATTACTTAACCTCTTTTAAGTGCACGCAAGGCAAAATACTTATACATTTTAGGAATACGTGTAACATGGTTCTCGATTTGCCTTAGAAATACTTGAATTGTGGATGCTTTACTGGGTGCTAACATCAGCTGTACGTAAATCCAGAAGATATTCAACTTAGTAAGCATCTGACTGGTGAAAAGGATGATTGTAGGCTTATTTCTTTAAGCTAGTCTGCCCACACAGTAAACCGATATGCACTTTTACGTAGAACAGGTTGACACTGGTTCTATGGATTAGCCGTCTAAATGTAGGCTATTCATTCCGTAACATGCCAGTTAAATTCACGTCAAAATAGCGTTTCTGCTCTAAGCCTTTGATAATGACTGTCTAAAGTTCGGCACATTTACAGAGCGGTGAAATTATTCTACTCAAGTTACCAGTTTTAATCATGGTAGAGCTTAAAGGGATTAAGTGAATCTTGACATGTGGCAATTTTGTGACTAAAATTGCTGTCGAAATGGTGTCCAATAGACAGTGTTCATTTGGGTTATCTTCTCATTTGTCGGAGGTAGGAATTCTTGACGCTGATTTGTCAACTGCAGGTTGACAAAAGACCTGAATAATAGTATGATAAGTTGTAATGCACATTACCTTGATTTGCGCCTAAAAGATTTACAAGGTGGTCAACTACACACTGTGGTGACCAACTCTGCTTTGTTCAGTCAACGGTTCTAAGTTAGGTCTTATTCACCACCTGGCTGACAGTCACTCGAATCATTTCTCTAGGTTTTATTGATTCTTATCTGGAAGTTGGTTATCGCATTGTATTATGAGTTTCTGGTAGTTAAATCTTCGCGAAACGAAAGTTTCCGTTTCTGTACTTTGATGGCATCTGGTTTTGTGACTTGTCATGAATTGTTCTAATAGACTGGTACCCTACCAATACCGGGGTAGTATTTCTGCGTTTGTAGTATACATTGTACCTTCCAACTTTTGTTTGAACGAACTCAGACTGACCTTTAAACCCACTTCCACTTTGTATTCCTGAACCTCCTGTACGGTTTCGGTTTCGCTCTCTCGCTGTGCTTTCACCTAGCACACTCTCCGAGCTTACACCGCCTCACCTGCAAATAAGTGTGTACCTCTTATTTCTTATCAAATTCTATATCTCTTTTGTGTAAATACAATTCTGTTCCAGTCACACTTGCCATCTCAGGTCTTTTAACTTTGATTCCGTTCGTTAGTACTTGCACGTTAGGCAGAGTACTATTAAGGCCATAAGCGGTGAAGAAGTTTTGTAAGAGTGGTTACTTTTAGGTCGAAGTTAATCTAAGTCTAACTCTTACACGTTTACCCTAACACCTAATGAAAGGAACTATCTTCCTGTTCAGTATTTTGGTCTATTAAAAGTCATTCTGGTTAAACTTATTGATGAAAAGGTTTCACAAGTGTTTTTAGTCAGTGGCAAAATTATGTGGCTCAAATAATAACTTTGGGTCGCCTGTAAAGTAAACGTCTGTCTGCTTTCGGATGAATATTAAACAAAATGCAAATGACAGTGTGAATACAGATATACTGAGGCTTCAGGAAAACTATAAACGACTGAGAATCTGGAGAATATCATATTTTGTAAGGGCTCCAGAGTTTTCACTGAAAGTGTTATGATAATATCTGTTTTCAAGGTTTTGTACTTGAGAGACTCCAGTTTACAGACACTGACAACATCAGGCACACAGTAATTTGGAGTCAAGTAAAAACTCGTAAGCTATACAGAGAAACACTTGTTATGTCTTCGAAAATTATATACCGATTTAAACCAATTCTGCTTAAGTGATTATAGAACAGTTTTATACAACTTTTCTTTCGAAGACTAATTTTTCAGTGCATTCAGAAGGCACAATATAGAAAAATTGCGTTACACATATTGAGCATGATTGGTCGCCTAATAATCATAAATTTTCTCATCATCATGCATTTCATTATAGATGGCTCACTTGAGTATGAATGTTTAGGGGTGAGCTTAAACTATCATATCCAAAGTCAAGATCTGTAGTAAGTTGATAATGAGGAGTTGATCATGTTAAAGAACACCACAAAAGTCATTCCAAATCAAATCTAATCCTCGCTTATGGATTAAGTGAGGATAGGTACAGCATTTCACCCACTTCTGAGAAATCAACACGGTCACGTGGGCTCAACGATTTTAGGGGTAATTGGCCTCACCTTAATGTTTCGATCGGGGCATTAGGCTAGGAAAGGACTAGAATTCTGGTTAGCTTAGAGAGTAATGACAGGAATATCAATGGATCCGAGAGTATCGTAATCTACAGTCATCTCCATGCATACATCCATCACACAGGGTGTGATTCCTCCACGGTTTATCCTTACAGTAAATGAAAGAAGCTCTTGCAACACATAAAATACGGTTAAAAAGTGTAACGTCATGCACATAATGGTGTTCGGGACTTTTTCGCGCGTGGATTCTGACTGGTTGTTCAAGCTCAGACTGATATTTTAACTTGGCCTGTTGGGATTAGCATGCAAATCAGCGACAGTTCTGAGGCAGAACTTATAATTTGGTATGTCGTTCACACGTAGGTGGGATTGATGACACTGTTATCGTCTTGTGTTAGACAAATATGTAGTAGTACATCGAAGGTTAAGTTCTTAATGTTCGAGTGTCAGACTTGAAAAATAGACTTTTCATCTGACCTATGTTTTTATTTATTTATGTTGCTGCACGCTAAATTACCTAAGTTGGCATCGAAGTGTTTAACCTGATATTTGGAATGAACCGAGTCAAACAGTTCATAAGTTCCTTGAGTCAATTTCTCTGGACAAACGCAATGTCAGCATAAGTAAGCTGTAGCCCACGTACCTGCATTTTACACTGTTATTTCAGAAATGTCGGGGAAGATTGGGCAAAATCTTGTAGTTTCTGAATGAGGAATTTCCACTTTGACACCAGCAAATGCTTCTCTATCAGGTTATCTAGTATTATAGTTTGAAAATATGCGGTATCCGTTTGCTACCAAATCACTTCTTGCTCAAAGAACATTGGCCGCCTCCATGCTTGACTATGTTTTGATGTAAAAAAGATTTGTTCCACTGATTTCACCTATTTATTTCTGCACTAGTGCCATTGCAATAGGAGAGTTATCGTTCCGATTTTCAATATCTAGCGAGCACTTTAAGCCATTTATTTGGCAACCATACTGTATCTTAGCCGCATTCCAAGATCTGTGTGAAGTCTTAGAATATGGCTGTTGGCGAAAGCGTTTCCGAAAGACGTACTGAATCTGCTCACCGATGGGTTTTGGCCGCAGGCAGGCCATAGTTCGAGGGCTCCTACGTGCTTTGCTGGGGTGGGATGGTATTTAAAGGGCTTCTCAGGTCAGATCAATATCTGTCCGGACTTATTATTAGCGATATTATCTCTTTTCTCAATATATGCCTCCACCTGTTTCATTTCACATGTTCGTTATCTCATTATGAACCTCCCATTGCAGTCTTACTATCTCCTGTTTAACACAGACCACTTTGTACTAGCCACTCACCTGACACCTTTTATAACCTTGAACTGACTTGTCAATTTTCCTACCCCACACTCTACAAATCTTTTATGATGAATCACCATAGTCTCCCATTTTACAATATCTTGTAGTCGAATTCAGCCTAGCACGTTTGTCACACAAATACGACCATTTATTTCGACACCTCATAACTAATCTGTTATTCTACGTTAAAAATGTACCTGCCGCATAACTGGCCTTTATTGTAACGACAACAAATATTATATTTTATAATTGTAAGAACCTGAAGAGAAATTATTGAAAAGAATATTCTTCGTTCAGGTTGACTTTCAATTCATAATACGGGAATTTTCCACACTATCAAGGACAGGAATAGTTAAAACTGCCCATTTATAGGACCAGATCTGAGTAAGAATAGATCTTAGTGGAAAAACGCTTCATAAATTAAGTTACTAACATTTGGACATTTGGTGGACCATCTTGACCGAGAGGTGAAATAAGATGAAGTCGCTCCTACCGAGGCTGCACCAAGTTTCAGGTGTTATCAAGCTATCGTGATTTACCGAAATGAGTGAACAAGAAGTTTTCACTTCATAGATTTTACAGGAAATATATGCCAGTCAGTATTGTGAGGCCTCTGCAAAAGCCAAATAAACTTGACTGATCGCGTCTAAAACCCTACACAGTTCAACTGTGAAGTAGCTAGTACAACTTCCGCAGCCGACAAAACCTATGCATAAAATTCGAAATAAATTTTTGACTGCTGTAGTCAAGGGAAATTCAGAAAGAAGCACCAGCTTCGTAACGTCCACTAAGTGAAACCGCGTCACACTTCTAGAAGACCTGTGGGAGTTCCAATGGACCCAATTAATATACTCCCTCAAATGCCACTCCTAGTTCACCAAAGCTATTTCGAATCCTGAAATTGACCATTCTCTCCCATTCCGGTACTATATCCCTGAATTAAATAAGAAATTGTTTGATCATTCAAGCTATGCTAAAGCAGGTTCACTCACAATTTACATATTCTAACCCCTCTTTTCAAAGGTACTGCCTTGGTCTACGGTATTGATGCAGTGACGGTATCCTCTACGTTGGTATTACTCGTTTGGAACATTGGGATCTCTAGGACGTACACTTTGCAAATGTTCATAATATTTTTTAATGCGTGTGATGAATTTTAGAACCACCTCAGTCATGAAATAATAATAATTTATATTTCGTATAAACGAGTAAGTTTACAAGAAATGCATGCCATTTTTACAGGCACGATCAGTAATTTTATAAATTACAATCCTGAAGTGTCATAAATTAATACTTTTTCAAAAGCTGGAATTGTTCAATTATTGTACAAGTAATTCGAACAGGTTCTTATAAATGTTAAATTGTAAACCCTTCACTAAGGTCACCATCAGAGTTGAGCAACAACCCAAACTTCGTTCTGTTTCCTGCTGAGAGTTATGGTCAACCAGTGAACGGCGTATATCTGGGTGAGTGCTATGCCGCCACGTGATTGGACGCTATTTCAGGAAGAGGTGAAAATTTCGCGCAACTGCAAAGTGGTTTAAAATGCAATTATGAATGATACATTATTGGAAGTATATTTACAAGATAAATACAAGAAGAAGAAGAAGCTGTATAGTACTTGAAATGATAGTATACATTTGCAATGTTTAATGTCAACCATATTGGTCTAAGCATGGAAACTATCACGTTTCCAATGAAAATAAAGCTTTGTTCAAACATTCGTGTTGTTGTGTCTTTAATCAAAGCAACCAGACTTAAAGCAAGCAACAAATATGAACAAAGAGCAAGTTTCAGCTTCAATAAATGCCTAGGTAGTTAAGATCATATAGAGTATAATAGTGTGTAAATAAAAAGATTATTGTGAGGTAGGTAAGTGTTATTTAAGTGAGGAGTGAATTCAAAGATCTGGAAAATTGGAAGCCGTAGAACAAGCTGACCTGTAAGATGCCTCACGAATTTCTGTAGGGACCAACGGGTAGCATCTTGACAAGGAGCTGAACAGGCTTGTAGATAGTAGGAGCCAAAGCACTTTTTTATTTATAATTAGATCTGTACAACCCTTATTATTTTTTTGTTGAAGGTCCAGGCTGTTTAATTCTCGAGTTGTCAAAAAATGCACGTTGCTGTCCAAATCTTATAGACAGTTTAATCGGTGAAAGGAAGTTAATAAGGACTCTGATCTATGGAATGGACTCTCGGACACTTTAGTGTCTCTATTCTCTTCAAAATCGATGCACACATGGTGTTTCAGCCGCTGTACGAATAATGTTGTGAAGGTACGGACTCGCAGTCTACGACCAAACCAAAAACAAAGCCAAGTTATTCCGAACAGAATTATACTGAAAACAAACTGTTGGAGAACTCAAAGATTATTGTTCTATTCAACAAAATTTATCAGATAAATATTGAACAATACTTCAAATATGAGGTTATCCGGCATATAAATAACATCAGCACAATTGCTGAACACAAAATATCTCGCAGTCAACAAAAATGTGCATTCAAACAAAAAAGTATAGCACTCCAATAAACCACAAACTGCCTAATTAACACAGAATGTAAAATGGAATATGAAACACAACTACTGTTTTTCTAAGTGTAATAGAAGACGTGACGCAGGACATAAGTCAGTCGTTCAAATAAAGAAGCAGATGAACCAAACGATTCACCTGAAAGGATGCAAAAGCGCCGAAGTCTGCCTTTGAAAAATTGAGTATGGAACAATCTAACAACCTGAAAACAGTTTTAGGTCCATTAAGCACCACTCTAAAGTCGCCGAACCAAAAAATTAACAATCTTTATTCATTTATTGAAGCAATTTGTTGTGATGCTAAACAAAATAAATAAGGAAGCTCTTATCGAAAAACGAAAATGCCATCCTTACTGAAACTAAAACTGTCTGTCCACAACTGGTTCGTGGGGTACGAAAACATGGAGTTCTTCAACGGTGTTCACATTTGTTTTCGCTGTGTACTTAGGCGCTTGTAGCATCCACCAAAGAGGTAAACACTGTACACAGAGGGAGAGGGTATCGATACTGGAAGTGTTGGAAGCTAGTATCACTGGGGTCCATTGTCCATAGAGTTATGAAAAGGGATGTGATAATATCAGAAAAAAGTATTCAGAAATTGCACCATTCATGATGTGCAGCCTGGTCTCCAACCCATTAAGTTAGTTAGGACGTGAAGAGACACATGGTTAGTGTTTAGATGGATGAGATGTAGCATTTTGACGCAAGATTGTGCACTGTATCAACGACACTTTAAGCAACCTTATTAGCAAGGTACTTTTATGTTTTGTGAAGCGTTGAGCTGGATATCAGCGCGGTGATCACGAAATCAAATACCTAGACCAACAACATATACAGCAGCTGCCTGACTTCTCCAGCCTGCTACATGGGTAAGAACACATGAGTCGGTGAAACGGAAAGTATATTTACAAAAAGAAACAGTAATATATATATATGGAACAAAGAAACATGGTATGTATAAATGGGCCAGTGACGCAAGCGTGAGGACAGATACGCCGTTGGTTATGTGCTCCTGGCTTATGCAGAGGTAGTTGGGATCACTGGCTAAACTTTCGAAAAAATCTGTGAGGATTGACCACTAGTTTGTTTCACAATTATTGCAAGAAAGTGATTATCCTAGAAAATGTTCAACCATGAGTAATGAAAAGTGTCACGAGACTGATACGTCTGCTGCATTATCTATGCAAGGATGACCTAGAACTTTACACTTACTGTTACCAAAGTTCATGAATATGTCTACCTCTTAAACTTTCCAAAGGTGGTATGTATTTATTCAGAAAAGAATCGGAGGGTTTTACAAATTAATTATTATTTAAAATAGCAGAAAAGTTGTCTTCAGCTTCCTGAAGAAACATAGCAATTGCTTGTTTTAATCACCTATTTGTATGGTCCCTTTTAGAAACACCTCGTTCGGTTTTTTAAAACTACTACATGAAAAATGGAAAAAACTTTTAAGAAAATCGACTGGGTAAATGAAAGTGTCCTGGACAGAGAGGCAAGAAGAAAGGAAGAAAAAAACAACATGATTTTAAATAAACGACAGCATCTACTGAAAAAACGTGAATTGTTAGGATTTCCTCCCAAGTATCCTTCTATGGCTAAATACGAAGACTATGAGGATACATGTGACTCTTCATCGAAAAACAAGGCTTACACCACAGCGCAAGTCGGAAGTCCGTGCAGAGATGGAACCCAAAAATTATATACTAAGGTACATCTTTTTATTAAACTAAGTGATATATAATTCTGTCTTGCCTTGTTTTGAAAGAGCATGAATTCGTACAGAGGAAACTTATATATGGCGCCTCCAGAAACCACTGGTCATCCCATCCCAATGGATCAGCCTTACGTCAGAGATAGTATTATTCGGGCCAAACTTGGTGGTAAAGTTTCACATTTCCATCTGAATTGTTAAGCTAGCCTTGAAAATTCAAATCATCATGAAAAACCATATTTGAAATCTGCCGTGTTTCCTCAGCTTGTACGTTATCTTTTCTATATAACATTTTTGCTCATATTCTTTTTGATACTTATTAGGAAACTTTAAATGCTAGGTTAGCATCTGAAGATGAGAAGAGACTACAACGTTACTTGTTTACAACGAGCTATCAAGCGTAAGCTTATGAGAAACTAATAGTTCTGGTTTTAATAGAGCCTACGGAAAACCTGTAATTTTTGGCAATACTAGTTGTCGACGTATATACCCAATAAGAACCTTGGAGAGTACTCCAGATCCAGTGAAATTCCTTGCAAAGGAAAATTCGTATTTTCCTTCTACCAGTTCATGGATGGTAAGCTTATCTGTTTTTACCAACCAAATATCCTTTCTTGGAGCATTCAGCTTTTCAGTCAGCATGAATACAATTTACAGTAGTAGAAAACTCAGAATTAAATCTAGTTTATGGCAGAAGGATTTGATGATTTTGATCGTAAACAAAGTAATCTACCTGCATTTTCTCCACTAAATTATACTTTATTTTCAAACATATCTGATCTTTTCAAGTGTGAGTACAATTAAATGACCAGCATTTTAGTAACGCGAGGACATAATTAATACGGACAGTTTTAAATACTGAAGTGAATGGTGAATTAAAAGTGCACGTAGTTTCTTATTTGTGCTGAATGGCAATATGTGTTCTGCGTTCACTTGATTTTACTGGGTGGTGTATTGTATGAGCCATTTCCTTCTTGTCATTAAATGTAGTCAGCAGAGCTAATTTTGTGTAGTTTAATTGAAGACGAAAACTTCAGTAGATGATGTCACTTCTATATTTGCTTTTATTACCAGTGATCAGTGGGATTTTTACAGTATTATAATCAAAACTAGAACAATGGTCTTAGTTGTCAAGAGGAATTCTTGTATTGAATGTGACAGTGACACCAGTAAATATTAACTCGTCATACTATGTATTTAACTGATTCCACTTAACTTTACCAAAATGTCACTGATGAAGGAAACTGAAAATTAAAACTACCTTCAAAAGTGGATTAGAAATTTCGGTCTCCAACGAAAATGAATAAAAGATTACAATTTAACGTGAAACAGACACTCACTAATTACATGCCATGCGATGGATCTCCAGAATGGAGAAAATTCAATGAGATCAGAGAACATTACAGACATACCTTAAAATTGTTAAAAGCTAGAAAGAGTATTTGTGGGATCAGAACTCAGCAACTAAATGTTAATCGCACGACATGCCTACTCTTGGTCCATTAGTTCATGAACCAGGATAGACAATGCTAAATGGAAACAAAACATCTATTCACTCCTCAGTGATTTCCAGTATTTTTCTTCTCTGTTATCAATCTACAGGGACTGCCTTGAAATCTATAAAAACTTACAAAAATTATCAGTTGAAACAAAGCATAATTAACATATGTTGTGCGCATCTTTTGAAACGGTTAAGGTAACTTTTCAAGTCTGCAAGAAATCACCCACATCTTCTCTGAATGCTTCACATTATTAGGACAAGGCAATTCGCGTGAAACCTTGCTTTCATGGGGCTTTTGAACAATGTAATCTGAAGAAAGGATTGACATCTTCATTAATTTGACAAATAACTACTTGTCTCCATTGTTTACTTTAATGTTTTATTTATTTTATGCAAATAGTTAGCTTCTTCATTTTAAACGCTAAACTGAAAATGAGGAAAGCAGCTTTAAATGTTTTTTCTTCTCCATGCATATATTACTGTTTTCTTCAATCAATAGCCGGAGAAGTTTGATCCAGTTCAGTATGACCTGAAGCAAACGAGATATCCATATATAAATGAAGACAGACCTTATGAAGTGTAAGCCACCTATTCATTTCTTAGTTTAGTTTTATTTTTTGAATGGTTTCGATGCATTTACAAAGTATTTGAGATTACTTTTATTCAAATGATATGTGATGAACTACACTGGTTTCTAAAGCATAACTGTTCAAACTGCATCGAAGTGGCATTGTTTTTAAAACTTATCTCATAACAAGTATACGGCTGGAACAAATTCTGGGTTGCTACTGGAGTCAAACTAGTAGTTCCTGAATTAATAATGGGGAATATATTTTTATTTTTGAATTTACAAGAGTAATTTTATTGCATTCGAATCTAGTACTCTTACCCGTAGTGAACATGATTAGTGGAACGACTTTTATAGACTGTGTCTCGACAATTATGTTTCAAATTTTGTTATTTATTTCATGTGCTTCTTAGTTAATTTAAATTTCTGTTTTCCTTTGTTCCAATCTATCTCTATGTCTCATCCAGTATGTCAAATTTTATGTGACTACAAAAAGATTCAACGTGAGGGTAATCATCAATATTAAAAGGGCCTGAATATGATTTTTATCACAATCCATGTTTGTGAAAACCTTAGAAGCAGTTATATCAAATTTTAACAAGATTTTTCAGGTTAAAACTACCTGTCTATTTCAGTATGAAGACTTCTGCTGTCAGCTGACTCTAAGTCAAAGTTCGAATAAAGGCATTTTAACTATAAAGGCAGAGTTTTATAGCTCAGTAAATGAAGTACCTAAGTCTTCCAGTCCCCTTCTCAAGAATTCACAAAAGTAGGTACATTCGAGAGGTTCAAGATTTGAATAAAGTTAGCGCACACTGCCATGTGTTTCACCATAACCACTAAAATGCCATCAAGTAATAACGGAAATGAAATATGGGCTTTAGAATATTGAAAATGAAAGAGTTTCATTTTTTGTTCACGTGATAGACCCTTAGTAGCATTACCCGTTTTCTTCTCTTTTACTTCAGATGTTCACACTACCCACGTATTGATCAGATACCAGGATACAGGTGAGTACCATGTTTGCTCTTTAAATTGATAATCAAAATTGGGTAGTATAAATTTTTATTAGAAGTTATGGAACTCAATTACTGTCTTCTAATATAGAATTATTGAACTGATTATCGTCAGCGTATATTATAAGTAGCATTGAAGAAAAGGATTGAAATGTCACTTCTATTTGAACATTAAAGAATACATCAGTTTGGAAAAAAATGTCATGGAGAAAGTTTATGTCATTAACTAAAGTCTATGCCTTACAAATTCATATGGGAAAAAATTTTTCAAAGTCCACTTATTACCAGTGCACATGTAAAAATTATACTGTAGTAAAGTGCTGATGTACATCTTCAAATATGCGGAGGAAGTAAAGAAAGAATAATTGGAAATCATGACATAAAGTAACTTTCTGAGCTAGTATTAGAGCGATTGTTTTGTTTAATATTAATGGGAAAATGCGAACCTTATAACAAACATGGCTAAATGTTTAACCATTATTTACATACTGGTATTTGTTGTAATAAATACACCAGCATAGATAAGAATTTAGTCCATGTCATCAATTTTTGTTATTAAACAGTTAGTCTCATTATGTAAAAGTCAAAATAAATTTCTTTTACGAAGTTCAACTTTGAGATATATGAATAATATTGAAGCAGAAAGTTCGTAAGACAAACTGTAACTAATACATAGCTATCCAAGTTTCAAGTGGAAATACAAGTTGACTTGTCTAAACCTTATTTTAGTGAATGCGATATGGATTATATCTGTTTGACAGTGATAAGCAACGAAAAATAATTAATTAGTTTCTCTACTTAGTGCTCTTCATTCCACTTCGAAAGCTGAAGTGGCAAAACTAGCAAGATGTAGTAGCCAGTTGAATAGTTAAGAAAAAAACTTGGAAATAATCAAGAAGGCTGGTTTGTTAAATACTCATATGAAGGGAATAAAATCTCTATATCGTTGATCTGTCTATATCCGATGTTAACGTCTCTTGAAAAAGTTCTGCTTTTTTGAATTCCTGGAAGGTATTCAATAAAACATTGATTTATAAAACCATGCATACATAATGCGAATGGCCTTTGAATGTACACCAAAGTTTTTAGCTTTTCATGTAGAAAATGAAACTTACAATAATGAAGCCGTTAAAGGTGGAATAAAGATCTAGGTTGCAAAAGCATTGAGATTAACAGCTTGAGCACTACAAGTTCAGCTGTTCTCCTCTAACTCAGTATGCTTTAGACTGACAGGAGAAGACTTAGGTGGAAAGTTAGTATTGTGATAAACAAATAATTACCAAACATTTATTTCCATGCAGTCTCGGCATTTCCTGAGATAAATGATAAAAATGATAAAAAACTGAGCGCAGTAGCTGAGCTGGTAAAGTAACAGACTAGTAATCTGAAGTCGGCTAGATCAAGTTCTGTCACGAATCAAATTTCAACCTAATACGTAGTTGGTAGTCTGTCAATCGAATACAATTTAAAACGGCTTGAAGATTAGGGAAATAGTTGCAACAACAACGAAGTCTTCTGTACTTGCTTAACATTCATATTTGACCACTTGATGTGGCTTACTTGTCGAAGAAGTCAGTCAGTTCTTAGGAAAACTCAATATACTGCTTCTTTGTATTTTATCCTGTTATTTTTTTTATATATTTCGTCATCTCCACCTAATAAAAGCGATTTGATTATCATGATGTTAAATTCTATGTCAAAGCCCATTTACATTTGTGAGAAAAAAGACTGGAAACATAAAGTTTGCATTTCTGGGAAAAAGGTGGTGTGTAACTTTTAACCGGCTGTATTAAAATTTGACCAAAAGTTTCTTGAATAATTCTTTCCAGAGTGAAGAACTTTAGAGATGATTGAAAAGTGAACTTTGGTTTTATCAAGCCTTTTAAAAATTTTATGAACTTTCTCCCCTTTTAAAACTAAAATCATTCGGAGCAAGTGGCGCATCAAATGATTGGCTAACCTCCTTCTTGATGAAACGTCGTTTAAACGACTTCAAAGATTTCCAGCCACAGAAATATTAGTAGCAATTTAGTCTAGAGTGCAGCCAAATGGTCCATCTTATTTATCGTATATATATGTATACTACTGGTAAGATTTATCAGTAGTATATAAAGAAACGTTCATCGGCATAAAACATCAAATAGCAGGGAGATATATTTGACGTCAAGGAAAGCAAATGATTCAGCGTTGTAGGGAAACATGGGAGACGTGAAAGGAACACAGAGAAACATGGTATGAAGACCAGAAGTAGCACAACATGGAGATCTGTGCAAATGGTGCGTTGAAGATAGGGTGTCCATAATTTGGCTATATTCAGATACCATCCCGTGAATAAGTCTGTGGTCTTCTACCATTACACACACAGAATTTTATCATGAACTGTCATCGGTTAGAGGACCATTGGGAAACCTGGGAGTTCTAGAGAGCTGTTTCGTCCTAGTATGGGACTCCTCAGGTTTTTCAATGACCCTCTAACCGATGTCAGTTCATGATGAAATCTCAATATATATTAATGGCGCGGTTTTAACTCCAGCAAAATGATCCTACCTACGAATGACTTTTTCTTAAAACAATCAGTTGAACGTTAATCCCATTTTCGGTCAACGTTAAAGAAAATCAGGATAACTTTCTTACATGAGTATTACTTCCAGTATCCATCTCACCATCCTGTGTATCCTTTCTTAACTACCGTTTGCCAACAGTTGAGTAATGTTTCAGCCATCTAAACTCTAATGAAAGTAGACAAAATTACTTCACATTATATGTAAAATACGACAACTAAAAACCTATTCATCAGTACATACATGTTAATTACTCACTGATGATGTATATCAACTAATCAAATTGAATTAGTGGTTTTATATCCAGATAATTTAGTAGTACAAGGAAGAGGTTCTCATACAGTGAAAAGCATTTGGAGTACAAAACGTAGAGAATGCTGACGACGCGAACTATATAGCGAAGACTGGTCCTTTGGGGATTCAAACTGACGGAGTATCTCCCGAAGTTTGTCTAAAGGCGGAATCGTAGACGTGAGATTTTCCTCAGTGAATATCAAGTTATTTCAAATGTAGATTCTTAACACACTAAAGATGTTTCGATTGGACACTAATTAGCTGCTATCATGTGTCTAGTCCTTTGTTTGGTGCAGACTGAATTCTATCAGTCAAGTTTACAATGTGGCCACCACGTTAGGTGGCTTGCACTGTGAACTGTTCGTATTAGATGGTCGGAGGCAGTCGGCAAGAAGACCTAGACCTAGGTTTCATTCTTGTTGGCACTTATCAGAAGTCTTGACGAAATCCATGTCCCTTCTGTGATTCGAACCCGCGTCACCTAGTGCTGCAGTCAGAGACGTTCCCACTTAGCAAGGTTCACCTTAAGCTTGCCTTCCATAATGTTAAGCTTTTAGCCCAGTTTCTGACACTTCTGCGCATTTTCCAACCAACATTGTAGTATTTGTCTGCTAAAATTACATGCAAGTGTATTTATCAATCGCGCGACATGTGGAGGCATTAACTGACACAGATTTATAACTCAGATGTAGAAAATTAGGTTTGACAAAACAATTTCCAAAGGTAAGAGGTATCTTGTAGTAGGGATTACTGTCAATATTTTGTAAAAATTAAAATCTAGCCGCACACAAGCACACAAGCGATGTTGAATAATCAGCTGGATTGTGTTGTCTGGCTTGATGTATATTATGATGAGTATAGGCAGCACATACATTATAAGATTCTGATGAATGTAGGTTTTCAGTGACACTGCTTCGACAACAGTATCCTTATTCTCTACCCTTCGATATTTTACTAACTGGAACAATAAATGAGAATGACTCAAACATGTAGCTGAATTGTTTTTTATTTTAAAATTATTTGCCAGTAATTTGATCACCTACTTTGTTTTCGTTAGCTATTAGCCGTAGGCATGGGACTAATCTTTTCTGATCCACTAATAAGAACAATAGACTTATTATACATAAGTGTAGATTTGGGGCACTGTGGTACATTATAGTTCCACATTCGATAAGTTTATTTGATATAACAAGCTATAATACATTGTTGGTACCTGGATGAAGTTTCGGGCACAATTTATTACTCGTAATCATATCAGGGTATTCACACAGTTCCATAATTTGGTGATTGTAATTTTTCACATATTCGGCATACACAATGTGTCATTTCAACTGCATTTGTTTTGTGTTGATTCGATGATCAACCTCTTTCTCTCCGCCTAGCTACATTACTTTTTAATTCTTTCACGCTGGACAAGATGGGCAATAAATGATACAAGAAATGTCATCCAGTTGTCGATACCGTATCACTATGTTATATGAAATCGAATTATCTAATATGGAATTATGATATGTAATCGAAATGAAGTGGTTGTCACCGTTCATTTTGTGAAATTTTCTTATTGTAACCATAATTTCTGAATATGACACTATGTCTGTTTAGAGGAAGCACTTTAGATGTATGTACTACAGATTTTTTTCATACTGTTTAGGTACTGTTCACAGGTGATCACACCAGTGCCACAACCAACAGTATACGCATACACCATAAAATAGATTTTGAGAAGACCATTTGTTGATGATAAACCCAGAAATGACATTTTCTTCAATGCATTATGAACATCCAGAGAGTGAACTGGACTAGTTTTGAGCGGGCTTAAAAAATAAGAGTTTACCGAATAAAAATACGGCAATAACCAGTTGTATCAATAAATGATAACGGGCTATTGATTTCTCTGCGTCTTTGCATTTATTGGATGTTCTCCAAAGTAATTAAGTTTTCATGACGACTAATTTTTTTTCAAAGACTTCCAATTCAATGCTCAAATATATGAACAAATAAAAGGAACACCAATGGGATCGCCCATATCAGGATTAGTAGCTGAAGCTGTTATGCAAAGATTAGGACTAATAGCTCTACCTATAATTAAACCGAAAATCTGGGTACGTTACGTTGACGATACATTCGTAATAATCAAGAGAAATGATTTAGAATATACCCATAAATTAATAAACAACATATGTGAAGACATCAAATTCACAAGAGAAGAAGAATTAGATAACAAAGTCCCATTTTTAGATGTCTTAATCAGGAGAAGCAACACAGGAAATTTAGAAACACAAGTATATAGAAAATCAACGCACACAGATCAAATACTCAACTATACTAGCAATAATCCAGTTACTCACAAACAAAACTGTGTGCGGACATTGTTTAAAAGAGTTCAGACACATTGTAGCACTCCAGAGTTGAAAAGAATGGAAGAAAAGTACCTACAAACGGTCTTCAAAAAATGGTTATCCACAAAATTTCATCAAAAAGTGTTTAAAGTCGAATCAAAACGCCAACAAGGAGCCATCATCAAAGACCACAAGAAAATTCATCCTACCATACATGAGAAATATCTCTGAAATAACAGCTAGAATACTGAAACCGTTTGATATAGATATAGCACACAAGCCAGTCAAATCGCTTAATTCGATATTATGCAAACCGAAAGATCCAACAGAAAAAGGAGATAAAATTAATACCATTTACAAAATAAATTGTATGAACTGCAACAAGCATTACATTGGCCAAAGTGGGCGTCCCCTTCGAATCAGAATCCAAGAACATGAATCAGCCGTGAAAAGACACAGTATGTATTCTTTAGTATCAATGCATATAGACAATTATGGTGGTCAGTTTGATTGGGATAATTTCAAAATCTTAGACAGAGGAAACACCGAAAGTGCCAGAGAATTCCTAGAAGCCTGGTACTCAAACGAAAATGCAATTAACAAACACGTTAATATAGGCGAAATATATCAACTAATACAAAGTAAATCAGGTGACGAGAAAGTTTAAAATCCAATAGGAAATGTTCAATACATATGTAAAGATAGTTACCAGGAGACGCAATTATATCACTCATGAAGAAATTTAAATCATTTCACTTTGTGCTAAATATGGCTCTGAAGATGTTGTCCAGAAGGACGACGAAAGCTCCGCAACTAAACCAACCAGCTCAGAGAACACTATTAACCAATCTGGTATATTTCACAGATTCAGAAGGAAAAATTTAAAGATGTTTGATTGGGAATTACGCCGAGCATTATTCGTCAATAGTTGACACAAAGAGTCGGGTACATGACAACAATAATATGCGGCTCTGAATTATTTCTTTAAAAAATGCTATTCGATCGTTTACGACTTGTAAAAGAAATCGTCTATACATTTCCTAAAAGTTATCTACTTGTTATTTCGAGTTTACACTTAGGATTATTGCTTTCAGTTTCGATTTCCCCCAAATAGTTTTATGTACATTTATTGTATCATTTAATTTCAGTGGATCATTCACCACAAACGACAGACGTGTTGATAGTGATAATCCATATAAAGAATATAAACCAGTCAGTTTGGTTCGCCAGAAAATTCCACAAGAATACAATTTTGATTTGTAAGTTCACTGGGGAATTATCTCCGTCAAGTATCTCTTATCATTTTCAGTAAAGGCATTCTTTTCTTAAATGTAAGAGATTTGAGTTGTACTTATTGAGGTCAGTGTTTAGATCAATGTGAAATAGTATACTGCTTCTCACCTGTTTGTCAATCCACTTTCAATGAAAACAGTGTTTAATGTAAACACTAAGCTCTGCAATTTGTTACGTAACAGGCAGGTATACTCATTCGAAAGAGAGTAATAAATGGAATAAATAGTTTTAATATTAGAAAGAAAAAGAAGAAGAGTACGCAGGTTATGCTGAACAGAATTCGCTGATGAGCTTTTCATATCTAAATTGAATCGTTTCCTTAAGTTTCCAGATATTTACTACTGTAACAACAGAAGGCAAGAGTCAGACAACAGATCATTTATTAAGGAAATCAACGCATATTTATATATTTTCATGTACATTACTATGGATATTTAAGTAAACAAACACAGTCTTCCGATTGGTTGTTTCTCACATAAAGTTAATCTTTCATCTATTTGTGACTGTTTCTTGAATGTCAAATCCTCTATATGTTAACTGCATCCGCCTACGCAAAGTCTGCTGTGGTAGGTTTTGAATCAATCTTTGTTCACATTTTCTCACGGCATGGTCGGCGAGAGTCCTAACCACTGTGTTGGAAATGTAATCTGAGACTGAATATAACTAAAATGTTCATACTGGTTCACCACGTCGTTATAAAGCTTCCAACACTTATCTAGAAGTAGTTTCAAGTATTAGTTAGCGTGAAATAACAACATATACATCTTTCATCTATCCGCTGTCCTTCAAAAGTTAAAAAATTCTGTATGCATTATTATTATTTCATCTGTAATGAGGCAGCAAAATTTCCGCATTCTGCCTAAAAGACCCAACTTTAAAAGTCACTCAGTTATGTGTTGCGAATGGTGTCATTGGGAAAACAGTCAAAGTATCAGTCACACGTCATTTTTTATGTCTAAAGTTTATAGATTATTGTGATTGAAGCCTTATTTCCTAGGTTGGTGAGAAAACGGTTAGTTCAAAATAAATCAAAATACGATCCCATTATTGCATTATAGAATCTACTTCAGGTTTCACCATTAAGTCTACAGTATCATGAAAGTCCTGGAGCATGATATGACAGATTAGCACTTAGATTTCGAACATCACTATTTCTGTCGACAGAATGTTTGTTAATGGCAAGATGATTTCTTCTAAATTCCTACTTTTCCTGGAGATAATAATATCATCATCAAACTCAATAAAGTACTGAAGACATCAATTGAAAACAGTTGATTCAAATATATTGAAATCATTAACAAACGCTTTAAATGATTTCTATTTCGACTACTTGAGTTCTCCGACTGAATGTCCTCATCAGTCTCGATGTCTAAAGCAGGACAAGGATACAAAAGGTAAAACCTGCGATTGGTTGAAGGGCAGTTAGATTTTCACGGAGATGACTGCATATTTCTGGTGAGTAGGCAGGGAAAGAACAGCGATTCTTCCTTAAATTTATATCAACATCATTAATTCATTCTTTGGTGATGTCAAAAATATTAGTCCTCAATTTCATAACTTCCGTCTGTTTTTAAATTGAACAAAATTTATGAAGTTTGGCACATGCTACGCTTTAACCTCAACATTCTGGACTTCAGAGCTACTGTATCGTTCAAACAATAGCACTAAGAAGTACATGAATTATAAAATACGCGGTTAATTAGGAGATTTCTTTACAGCGTTATTGCCGCTGAATGAATTGATGCAGGGAAACAATCTTGCACGTTTCTCAGCGATTTTAACGGAAGGCATAGAAGTTTAGCTAGTTTACGAACTGCAACCCCTCATTTTTTCTAAGTACTCTAATTTAGACTTGAACTGTACAAACAATCTAGACCAGAACAACTAAGGTTATTAGTTAAAGTGAAGCAGCATTAATGTATTTACAAATCCCAATACCGTCTAGAAAGTTTTGGAAGCGTAATACCCAGGTTTATTGACAGTTTTTATCCTAACCTAAATGTAGTACACGCGTGAGTCTAGAAGAGGTAAGTGGCAAGAATATAACAGTTTTCGTCCATGAAGTCTCTTGATTCACGTGAACTGATGGTTAGTTAATGAGACCAAGTTACATTTATTGCAGTTAGTGGAAGTGAGGCAATCCAGACTAATTTCACTTTGGCAGAGGCTAGTCATGTTAATGATGACAAACAGATCAGTTGGTCAAGAAACTGTGACTGCGATAAACTAAAACAGTTAACCAGTCAGATCATCTTTCACAAGCTCATAAGAACAGTTAAATTCAGCAAATCACCAACCAAAATTCTAACTGGTATTCATTAAAACAAATGACTGTGTGAAATGGGAACATGAAGCACGAGTAAACTAAATTCAACGTAAGTCTGTCACCTAATAAGACAGTCATTTAGTTTAGAACTAAATATATTAATTAGTCATGCATATTTTTCCTGAATCAGATTAGTTTGAATTTCAGAAATACTGCATTTATGAAGATGGCTAAAAAGATAGTAGAACTTCTCATCACAGAATAATAGAATTCGCAGAACAAGCTAACTCAGTAGTTCAATAATCCAACTGTCGTATTCTACTTGTTGTATTTTCAAGGGCAACTCTTGAATCATTGTTTATCTCCTTTGTCGCAGACATCTTGAAGTTTCATCCAATTTAAATACATTTAAATGTGCACTGATTTGTTGGTATTAAATGGTTGGAGGCAATCGGCAGGAACTCCTGGACCTAATCTTCGTTCTAGTTGGCACTGGTCAGCAAGGAACTCATGTCCCTTGTGAGATTCAAACCCACATCACTCAGTACTGCAGTCAGAGGCGCTATCACTGAGCTATCCGGGCTCCTGTAGGACTGTATTAGACATTTTTGATTGGACACTAGTCAGTAACTAGTATCTATTCAAAAATATACACTGACTGCGACTTTTGTGCATATTTCGATTTCTGGACTCTCAAAACTCATTCGTTGCATTCAGGTATACATGTCCATACCAAGTTCACTATTAAAAGTTTTTAAAAATTCGGGTATTGGCTATGTGATTTTCATTATTACAAAAGTTTTCGTATTTCCCAATGGATGAAAAAACGATACTGTTTTTAATGATGCTCTTTGTGATTTCCAGAAATCTTTCTGAGAGATTTCGAAATTGTGAGAATCAACTGTTTGTAGTGATTCTATACTGTGTAGACCTATGACCGATGATTTTTCAAACTTTCCTATTTCTATTGGATTTCCTTATCGTCGAATGGAGCTCTAAGGTGTTCATCTATTTTGACTTTGATTTCCTGCGAGGTTTATCCGATGTTTATTTTATCACATTCTAAGCATGTTATTTTATAGACATTTAGATTGTGAATCTTTTAGAATTCTGTCTTTTGCATGAACAAGATTGCTTTCTAGTGAATCTGATGTTTTGAAGAAAACTCCGCTGTTGCATTTATTGAATTGCTTTCTGATATGGTCTGACGTCTACGACATATATATATATATATATATAAGTTGAGATTTTATAAATTCCGGTTTAACATTACTTTGATGAAGCTATTAGCACTAAACAACGGAACTTCAGTAACAACAGCATTGTTTGGCTTAGTATTGAGAAATAGAAAAGCCTTTATAACCATGTGTTATATGTCAATTCTGTCCAATTTCTAACTTAAACAGTTGAAAATTTTCATCCCTGTATATGTCAACTTCTATACGGATCAGAAACTTGGCGGGTCACAAAGAATATTTGCAACAGCCTGTTGCAGACCTTTATCAACAGCTATCTTCGTTCTATACTCAAGATCAGATGGCCGGAAAGAATCACCAACAAGAAACTATGGGAACAAACAAAACAAGAACCAATCGCTCAACAAATATGCAGGAGAAAGTGTAGATGGATTGGACACTCGCTGAAGAGGCCGCTGGGTGACATCTGGCGTCAGGCCAGTGCTCGAGTGGAACCCGAAAGGGAAGCGACGAGTGGGACGTCCAAGGGTAACATGGAGGAGATCATGTGAAGAGGAGTTGAAACAGTATGGACTAACATGGATGCAGGTGAAAAGTACAGCAGAAGACAGAAACAAGTGGAGACGTGCAGTTGAAGCCCTATGTTCCACTAGGAACCCAAGGGAACAATAATAATAATATGCCAACTTCAATATTCACTGCATTGTAGTACACCTTTCAGTGTTTTAAGTTTTTGTTTTAACGGGTATACCCACGGACTGACTGGAATGCCATTTTTGCGCTCATTTCTTGTGCTGTTAAGACTCACATTCTCTGAGTCAGTTGTTCAGCTATCCTAACTAGGTCAGTCCCAAATCCTTTGCACTGAATAATCTTAACTTTTTATTTCATTCAGATCCATTGTTTATCAGGGCTAATCACCAACGAACTAACTAAATCGTTATGATTTGCCTTTTTGTTATCAGTACTTACAAGTTAGGTGGAGTACTGATTTATTGGGTAATTAGACAAATTTCGCTTAGTAGGTGCTGGTATAGTGTAGCTAACCGATAAGACTAAAAGTATCTTACAGCATCATCAAGCTACCTGAAACTGATGAAACTTTATAGAATGAGACTAATTTACTTTATCCTGTCAACCTTCTTGCGCATAAATTCTTTAATGTTATGTAGCTGAATGCGCACTTCATAATAAAATACAAAATTCTTTACTTTATTCAATCCCTTATTGTTATGTCGATTTCTTAGAGTGGAAAAGCTGACAAATGATTCAAATATAATAAATGTTTTGTAAAAGTTCTTTAAATAGAATTACTCTAATGTCTGCTGAGTATAAAGTTTGTCATTATAAGATTAGTGTATGTGCAGTTTACTGTATTACTTTTTCAAGGAAGGTAATATTAATTCAAAAGTCAATATATTACTGTCAATAAAGAAGTTTTCATTAACTAATCAGTATTGCAGTAAATTTACCATAAAATATTGATGTAACATTCAAATATTTTAATTGTTTCCCCGAACAACACGAACATCAACAATTCAATTTTTTTCTTTTTATCTGCATGTGTGAATTGCTATTATTTCCTTTTCTTTATACGTTTTTTAAAGGAGCTTTAATATGTCAGGATATACTGGTTATCAGAAAAAGGAAATGCGAAGTGATGGTTCCCAACCAGAATTTCAGTGTCCACCTTCCGAAGCGAAGGCAGTAACTCCCAAACCTACTGAAAATCCCTGTGAAATCGTATCCAATGCATAGGATCTTATTGACAAAAACACGAAAGAAAACTATGAACTTTACAAAAATGTTTAGAAACCAGTCAGTGAATACATTGATTCACAGAAATCATATTCGGTTGTGACATAGACATCAATATAAATATTTGAATTTTTTCTTTCAAATGATAATAAATAGAGACCAAAGTTACAGAATAATAGTAGACTGTTTTAAGTCTCTGGTTTATTAGATATCTTTTGAATAAATGATAGAAGAATATAAGGAAGCAGTTCAGAATAAATAAAATAAGTAAATGAATATATTTATTCTTGGAACTATTCTTCATTTTGTACGAAGATATTTCAAATGCAATATGGTGAGAATTTCATTCGGAATTGTTAACTATGAGGATATTGTTCTTACTATTATTATTGTTTCCTTTAATTCCCAGAGGAACATAGGGCTTCAGCCGTGTGTCTCCATTGCGTTCGGTTCTCTGCTAGAGTCTTCACCTGGCTCCAAGTCCGCCCACACGCCTTCATCTCCTCTTCACATGACCTCCTCCAAGTCACCCTTGCAACGACGACCAACTCGCCGCTTCCCTTTCGGGTTCCACTCGAGCAATGGCTTGTCTAGTGATGTCACTTAATGGTTTCCTCAGAGATGGCCAATCCATCTCCATTTCTTCCTGCCTATTTGTTTCACAATGGGTTCCTGGTTGGTTCGCTCCCAGAGACCCCTCTGTGTTGCTGATCTTTTCTGGCCGGCCATCTGATCTTGAGTATTGCGCGAAGACAACTGTTAGTGAAGGTCTCTATTTTGTTTGAGGTGCTCTTTATGACACGGCAAGTCTCTGATCCATATATTAGCCCTGAATTCACATTGGAGTTGAAAATCCGGATGTTATTTTTGATGCTGAGTGCTGTTGACCTCCACACAGACTTGAGAGTAGTGAAAGCTTGTCTTGCTTTTCCGATTCTTACTTTGATATCCTCGGCACAGTGATTGTAAGAAGCTAATCGTAGGCAACTTTTGCAATGAAATTTCAACAAAAAATGACTATTCATAAAGCTAGTCAAACTGCAGATTGGAAATTGCCCCCCACATTACACATTTTTAGCTATTATTGATCGTTTCAATTAATTATTGCTTGTTGATTTTAATAAAATCGAATTATTCGATATCATCTTGGCGTATCAGCTTCAAAAATTAGCATCATGGAACTCTATTGAGTTCAGAATTGGCGTTGTTTATCTTGTAGTGACTGTAACAAAGCTCGAAACCACTTATTTGGGACTCTTACAATGAATGCATCAACATTAGAGGAACCAAAATAATTGATACTTGTTGTATAAAAGACTATCCCCGTGGCTCAGTAATCTAGTGAGTGACGCCTTGAGTTTCAGGGTTCGAATATTTTAGCATCCTCAGCTACAAAAACATAATATCCAAATGCATTTCAACTGTCTAGTTTTATTGAAATTGTTATGAATCTTGAGTGATGTTGGGTTAATAATTATGATCTTTACGATTATGATGTTCCAATAACAGGATAAGAGTCTGTTAATACTAAGTGATAGCAATATATGAAAAAATACACAAGAGAAAACTGAATGCAAAACTGCGGAGAGTACAACGCCTTTACAGGTTTTCGTTGCGAACATGAATATTGGTTCGGTACCTTTAGAAGATTAGATTCAAAATAATACGTCTACAAAAGAGACTTTTTACTGTACCTTCGATGGCACCAAAGCAGGTCAAGGGTTAAAATCGATATATCAATCCAACCCAACTTAATATTAACTAAATAAATCTCTAGTCCACCTGTCGATGCTTTGAGTGTTTTAGCTTTTGTTTTAACGGGTATGCATCTCATCAGGCTTTTACTGCATTTTGTTTTCCTTCCTTGTGCTATTAACAAGCAAAGACTGTGAGTTCACACTTCAGCCATATTAGCCAGATAAGTTATAAAATCTTTTCCCTAAATAACCGCAACTTCTTCTGTTCAAATATGGTGCTTATCAAAAATCATTTCCAAATGACTGTGTCCTTCGGATTCGCGTTTTTCTCTCAGCACTTACAAGTTAGGTGGAGTAGTGATTGCTTGGGTAAACAGGCATACCGAGTTTAGCAAAGCTGGTTTAGTGCAACAGCACAACCAGTACCGCACAAATTCAAATAACTCTCATACAAACATGAACTTACCTATGACCTATAGGCGCTCTTTGTGATTGTTTTCCAAAGTAGTCATGTGATTTGATTTGAATTTACGTCTATCACAACAACCAAGAGTAATCACGTTTGGAAATTGCGGTACTGAGAGTCCCAACTTTCCAGTATAAATGAAACGTCTCTAATATCTTCTGTTATTTCTCCCTACGATAGCAAAAAATGCTTTAGAGGGTGTTGACGTTCACGGATAGTGCTACGTATACTAACGCCAGGTCTTTTACCCACAATTCCCATATTTGTTCCATGTAGATCAAAGATAAAGCAAAGCACCAAATTAATCGTCCAAAATATGAATTATATTTCGAGACCAAAATAGTAGTGCGAGGACGACTGCTTAACTAGCAAGGGGTCGTGCACAAACAACCGAACATAACCAGGCAGCGTGTCAAATGGCGTGGGTGCTTGAACGCGAACCTTAAGCGAAACAGGTCGACTTAAACAGTAAGGGTCAGCATCCATTGTTGAATGGTGAGTGCTATGACTAATAATCTTGAGGAAGTATTTACCGCTAAAATGCCATTAACCTCTTATTTATTCGTAAGCTTAATCAAACATTGTAAGAATACGTATATCAGAACTTTATTTGATACAATACACTGGGTGTTTTTCGTAGAATCAGAGTAAAATTCTGATATTACTGAATGCAATAACCGTTTACATTCCTTCTAAATCGGTTCCACATCGAATCTCTTATTCAGATGATACGATCTCTTTCTGGAGTAGGTTGGAGTATTCTCCGTAAGCAATTTCGGTTATTTTTTCCACTGTACTAGTTATAAATTTGCACACTAGGCACATGTTAAGCATGTACTCGATTGCACATAAAGGCTGCATTGTGCTGACATCTGATAATTTGTGAGTGATATTCAACTGATTTACTATTCGTGTTAGCTAAAATGGATCTCATTAGCTCTCGTGAGACAGTCCTATCTAGCTAATACCCGCATTCTTATTCATCAGCTGTAGGTTGGTTATGCAGATAGTCGATACTAATTACGAAATTATTCATGTATTTGAGCATGTAGATATAGTCTCACTGAAGTACAATGCTTTGTTCTGTTAAAATCAGAAGTAATCGGTGGTCCGTAATAGTATCACACTCACAAATTAGCAGTATTATCATGTCACCACCAACATAACAAGTATTTAGTACGAAATCTTTTTGCAAATTAGCATTTATTTATGCATAACCTGTAAATTTATTGCTGAATTAATGTCACGGAAGTTCAGCTGATCTCATCAGCACTTTATCCACGACATGCAGTGGGTGTAAGTTCTGGTATTTTTTCAAAAACCACATATATTTGTTTAAGCGAACATCGTATTTGTGCTCACCAAGCTTGTCTACTAAAACTGGCACCACGTTTTCTGGACAAGGTGAAAATGTCATGGTAGTAGAGGTTCCAAAAGAGAGATGTAACAGGATTCCTGAAAGAAGTAGAAACCCTCGTAGACATGGTGAACTTTCAGGAGCTGCAGGTAAAAGCTAGTAGTATTGGGGGGGTCATATTAGGTAGGTGGGTAAATACATCTTGTAACAGTGATGAGGATGAAAAACAGTTTTTGGGATTGTGCCATTGAGCCGCTGATGACATACTATGATCTTCTGGAGGACAGAATGTCATCAGGACCCAAGGAGAGTGAGGTCTAATTCGGACTGTATTTACACTGATACAAACAATTCTATAACATGCATTAACCGCTTTGGATGATGTGTCTCAAGAGCAGTCACTAGTGGTCCAGTTCATTAAAATGTTTCTGCCGTCGTTTCTTAACGTCTGCAGTTACTGAAATTAAACAACTTATAAATATCCATTGACTGGCCTAAGTGAAAAGTCTACCTAAGAATGAATGAATGTCGAAAATTTAACGATGCTGCAGGATAAATGTGATAATTAGGCAGTAAAAGAAATCTTTTTGAATAAGGGTAAACTCAAATGTTAGAAGTTATGCTTGTGAAAGGACAATAAATTAACAAATAGGTGGCCGAAATGTTGAATTATAAAAACCTTGTGACGGTAAATAATTCCTTAAAATTGCAACCTTACAGCTTACATTATTATTCAACACTGAATTTTTATTTCTTTCAAATCAAACTGGAGATACGCGATACCCGTATGTATGTAATTAGCTAGGCTTGTCGATCACGATTCATTTTCAGACGATCACTCGCAGACTACAAGTACGCACGCTATTCTGCGAAATCTCCCACAAATATGCAGTTTGGTCCGCGGTCTTGTAGGGTGAGGAGAGTGGCAGGTGAATTTTTTAATGGTAAGCTTAATTCATGATCTAGAAGCAGAGGGGCCGAAAAAGATCCAATTGATGAGTACGCACATACTCGGTGCAAGTATGCACCGTGGCAGACCTTCATCCCACCAATTACTTGATGTGCCACTAACGAAAACACTAATTGTTGTTTTAATCGTATTGTTCTTTCATCCAACCAAGCCATTTTCTCACCAGTGATACGGGATAGTGAGTGTCCTCTGAATCTTAAATAATCAACAAAACCGGGCTACTATTCCACTTCCGAACTTCACTCGCTAACCAGAATATAAGGCCAATGGAGCTTTATGTACCACTCATGTTTTGCAGAACGCTTTTGCTGCAGTAAATACTTCCTGCTGCGGGAACGGTACCGCTTTGCATCACTTGGTGAGGCAGTTGATCTTAACCAGGGTATATCGATCACCGCTTTTGGTTGGTAATGGGTGTTCCATAATGTCAGTTCCAACATTTGGGTGTGGTCCTATTTTTAGCCTCAACACCATCATTGCGTATGGTCTAAGGGGTGACAACTTGATGGG